CCTTATCACCACCAACTTTATCACCACCACCCTTATCACCACCACCCTTACACCACCACCCTTATCACCACCACCTTTACTGTCATCACTACTACCACCACCTCCGTTATCACCATCATTACTACCATCACTATTACCACCACTACGTACGTTCTGCACCACACCACTCCCACCCTCCTCTTACACCACCACCTTCCTACACCACCAATCTGTCACCACATTCTCCTACACCACCACCATTATCACCACACACCCTCCACCTCCACCATTATCACCACACCTCCCCACACCACCACCATTATCACCACCCTCCTACACCACCCACCATTATCACCACCCCTCCTCCACCTCCACCATTATCACCACACCTCTCCACCACCACCACATCACCACACCCCACACCTCCACCATTATCACCACACACCTCCACCTCCACCATTATCACCACACCTCCACCACCACCATTATCACCACACCTCTCCACCACCACCATTATCACCACACTTCCTCCACCACCACCATTATCACCACACTCCATCACCACCACCATTATCACCACACTTCTCCACCACCACCACTCATTATCACCACACCTCCATTCCACCATTATCACCCACACTCTCCACCACCACCATTATCACCACACTCCCACACCACCACCATTATCACCACACCTCTCCTCCACCACCACCATTATCACCCACACCCGTCCACCACCACCATTATCACCACACACCCTCCACCACCACCATTATCACCACACTCCATCACTACCACCACATCACCACACTCTCCTCCACCTCCACCATTATCACCACATTCTCCACCACCACCATTATCACCACACTCCATCACCACCACCATTATCACCACACTCTCCTCCACCTCCACCATTATCACATTCTCCACTCCACCTCATCACCACACTCCATCACCACCATTATCACCACCTACACCACCTCTTTCCTCTGCCAGTACAATATCTAGCTTCCTCACCCCTCACCACTTTCGTCCCACGGTGTAAACAATTTAAATCATTCTTATATATAGAGAGAAACATCACACAAGCATGTCATCCACGCGTCCACCACTACCGGTAATGTTCAGTCATGTCAGAGAACACGTATTGTGGTGGTAGTGGTGATGCTGGTACTTAATATACAGTGGTGATAGCGGTGGTAGTTAGTACAGTAATGGTGGTGGTAGTTAGTTTACAGTGGTGATAGCGGTGGTAGTTAGTACAGTAATGGTGGTGGTAGTTAGTTTACAGTGGTGATAGCGTAAGTAGTTAGTACAGTAATGGTGGTAGTTATTGGTTAGTGGTGATAGCTGGTAGTTAGTACAGTAATGTTGGTGGTAGTTAGTTTAAAGTGGTGATAGCGGTGGTAGTTAGTACAGTAATGTTGTAGTTGGTTTACAGTGGTGATAGCGGTGGTAGTTAGTACAGTAATGGTGGTGGTAGTTAGTTTACAGTGGTGATAGCGGTAGTTAGTACAGTAATGGTGGTGTGTTAGTTTACAGTGGTGATAGCGGTGGGTAGTTAGCAGTAATGGTGGTGTAGTTGGTTTACAGTGGTGATAGCGGTGGTAGTTAGTACAGTAATGGTGGTGGTAGTTAGTTTACATGGTGATAGCGGGTAGTTAGTTTTACAGTGGTGATAGTGGTAGTTAGTACAGTAATGGTGGTGGTAGTTAGTTTACAGTGGTGATAGCGGTAGTTAGTTTACAGTGGTGATAGGTGGTAGTTAGTACAGTAATGGTGGTGGTAGTTAGTTTACAGTGGTGATACGGTGGTGGTGGTGACAATGGTGGTGGTGGTATTGGTTGGCCAGTAATTAGCTCACTGTACAGCTTGGTGCGCTCTGACCACTACCAAAATAGCATGTCACCCCGCCCATCACCACCGCCCACGCTCTCCTCCTTGCACGCCCACCTGCTGCCTCGTCCACACAACCCACACCTGCTGCCTCGTCCACACAACCCACCACCCACACCTATTGCCTCGTTCACGCACCCACACCTGCTGCCTCGTCCACACAACCCACACCTGCTGCCTCGTCCACAACCCACACCTGCTGCCTCACCACACACCACAACCCACACCCTCGCACACCCACCTGCCCTCACCCACCACCACACCCCACACCTACTGCCTCATCCACTATCCATACCTACTGCCTCATCCACACTATCCACACACCTACTGCCTCATCTACACAACCACACACACACCTGTCCATCCACACAACCCACACCTACTACCCTCATCCACATCCCCATATCGCCAGGTTAAGACAAGGACCTAGTGTGTTCGTCATTCCACAGAGCGTGAAGTAAGCAGACCAACCATTAACCTCGTGTGGTAGTGGGAGGTATTGTCCCCGATGGAAAGTAAACACGACTGTCCAAAAACACCCCACCTTCATCCACCCAAATAAAGTTCCTCGTTTGGATCTGGTGGATGAATGTGTACATAATGTGGAACTGTGTACATTATGATCAGATTTATCCGGGGGTTTACAGGTTTCGAGACATTTGCCACGAGTGTTAACCTTCTTCAGTTTTGGTCAGTTGATGTCTCAAGCTTGTATATAAACTGGCCTAGTGTAATAATACTAATTAGCGGTGTATTGAAAGAGCGTGGCAGCCGGAAGGCTAAAAATATACAGTTGCATAATTGGGGAATGGGTCACTTGATTTACAAATAATATACAAGTAACATAAGTGATACAAATATGATATATAATAACTAGGTGGGGAGAAGCTCAAACTACAGGGCATTTGAACATAGTAACAGTGCAAAAAGTAAGATTGACTGGGAGTGAAATACACTGGTTGGTTACGTTGTTGATAATTTTACAATGGTTGGGACTGGACTGTTCTTATAGTGATCAGTCTGTGTGTGTGTGTGTGTGTGTGTGTGTGTGTGTGTGTGTGGTAGGGGAGGGTGGTCTTGAGTCTTTGTGTGCGCGGGGGCGTGGAGAGGGCGTGCTCTCGCCTCCCCGCCAGCCAGGCATAATGGGCAGGCAGGTAGCAGGTGGTCCTCGCCGCGATAACCAACCCCGCCCTCACCTGATAACACAGCTATATAGGTAGACACACTAACCCTGGTTACCTCAGTCTGGCTCTTACTTACCTGTATACCTCACCTGCCTGTGTCACCTTACCTGCCTGTCCGATCGACCTGCATTCCTGCCTCACCTACCCGATCGACCTACCTTCTTGTCTGCCTGCCCGTTCGACATACCTTCCTTCCTACCTGCCTGCCCGATCGACCTGCCTGCCCGATCGACCCACTTTCTTGCCTGCTTACCCAACCGACCGACCTACCTCAACTGCCTGCCCGACCGGCCTACCTACCTCACCAACCTGTCACGTCACCTGCCTCACTACGAATGTTCACAAGTTCACCAGAGATGGTTTATAAGTTCACTAATAATGTTCACAAGTTCCACCAGCTGCTGTCCGCAATATTTTCTGCGATGTTCACACGGTCGTCAGCCTGGTACACTAGCTCAAAGCAGCCTTGTTCATCAGTTCATTGACTGTTGTTCACCCTGTTCTGTACGCCAACGTACAGTACTAACAGTGTTCACTTGTTCACCTGCTGGAGGTAACAAGTTAGTCAGTGGTGTTCACGAGAATAGCTACAGTGGGTGTGTTCACCAGCTATTGTTCACAAGTTCACCAGTTGTCAAAAGATCACCAACTACTGTTCACAATTCACCAACTACTGTTCACAAGTTCACCAGCTGCAGTTCACAAGCTCACCAGTTGTTGTCTACAAGTTCACCAGCTACAGTTCACAAGTACCTGTATACCAGCTACTGTTCACAAGCTCATTAGTTGTTCACAAGTTCACCAGCTAATGTTCACAAGTTTACCAGCTACTGCTTACAAGTTCACCAGCTCTATTCACAAGTTCACCAGTTGTTCAAAAGATCACCAACTACTGTTCACAAGCTCACCAGCTGCCGTTCACAAGCCCACCAGTTGTCTAAAAGATCTCCAACTACTGTTCACAAGTTTACCAGCTGCCTTTCACAAGTTCACCAGCTGCCGTTCACAAGCCCACCAGTTGTTCAAAAGATCTCCAACTACTGTTCACAAGTTTACCAGCTGCCTTTCACAAGTTCACCAGCTGCCGTTCACAAGCCCACCAGTTGTTCAAAAGATCTCCAACTACTGTTCACAAGTTCACCAGCTGCCGTTCACAAGTTCACCAGCTGATGGGTGTTTGAACTTATTGGTTTAAAGGATCAGATCAGACAAGTTACTCTCTCTCTCTCTCTCCTGTGTGAGAGAGAGAGAGAGAGAGAGAGAACACATTAGCCAGCCTGACAGAGATAATGAAGCGATACAAATATCACCCCAGGAATGTCTTCTCGATGTCTTATCTTCAAGGTTGTGTTAAGTCAGTCTTCCTCATCTCTCCTCACTTCTCCTCACCTGTCCTCAATCATCCTCAACTCTCCTCCACTCTGTCGTGAAGTGTGTGTGTGTGTGTGTGTGTGTGTGTTAAAGACCTTTATGTGTTTAATTGATTGCATAAAATTTCATAGTTGATTTTATGTATGTATGTATGTATGTATGTATGTATGTATGTATATTTCTCCTGATGTAAGAACCATTGTATATCTCTTGTGTGTGTGTACAGTATTATGTATGGGTGTTGATTTTTTGGGGGTCTACCTGGGGGTTTTACTGTAATTAGCTGTATGGTGTAGTATAGGTATATTTTATTGTGTATATGACGAGATTATTCACCATCCATTTGTTTAAGATGTTGGCATTACTTTCATCCGTTCACTCATACACTCACTCACATACATACATACATACATACATACATACATACATACATACATACATACATACTGTACACTCAGTCGTACACACACATTTTCACCATGAACCTATGTTGTTTCCCTCTCATCTTCACCATTTTCCTTCAGGTAATAATATTCAGTAGACTAAGAGGGAGTGTTTGTGTACCCGTAGGTGACAAGTTCCGGCTGGTGTTGGCGACGACACTCCGGGAGGATGGCTACCCGACCGACGGCCCTGAGTACAACCCTTTGGAGACGGGACCCAGCCGAGCCGACCCCTTCGACTACGTCATGTACGGCAAGATCTACCGTATTGAGGGTGACGATGGACTACTGGAGACCTCCGGCAGGCTGTGAGTACCCTTGGTAGACACACACACATATACACACCTACCTAAACACCCCTCCTCCCTCCCTTCTCGTGGTTAGGATGGGGGAGAGGGTAAATAAATGTAGTGGTAGAGTATTAATGTTTACTATATCATATATGACAACAGTGAAGAGTATTATATAGAATGTTTACGGTTTAGACATATTATTATTATTATTATACTTTATATATTGTCTTTTGTTTAAGTCAGTGTTAATTAATAAAACTGTATTAATGTCATGGTGTAGTATAGTTCATGTGTGTATTACAAGTTCTGTGTTGTATTGTACAGGTGTGTGTGTGTCTGTATGTACACCTGGTCTTCGGGCAGGTGTGTGTGTGTGTCAGATGTTGTACAGGTGTGTAGGAGAGTGTCTTTAGGGTGTGGCAATGTTGTTTCTGTCGGGCTTCACCTAGACCTGTGTCTAGACGGAAGCCATCTTGGCTCCCCCAAAGCCTTGTAATTCACCAGGTCACTATACAGGTCACCAGGTGGCTACACTAATACCTTCACCAGGTTAACCTGCACAGGTCACCAGGTAGCTACACTAACACCTTCACCAGGTGGTTACACTAACACCTTCACCAGGTGGTTACACTAACACCTTCACCAGGTCACTATACAGGTCACCAGGTGGCCTCACTAACACCTTCACAAGGTCAACCTGCACAGGTCACCAGGTAATAATAACACCTTCACCAGGTGACTATACAGGTCACGATACATGATCACACTTCACTAGGTCAACAAACTTCACCAGGCTGTAAGAGTCAAGAAACACAAGATAACAACATTTTGAACATAACAAGAATAGACGATTACGAATTTACCAATATAACAAGATTTTGAACTAGCACGACATAGCGCAACGACCATCACACCTAAGATAACAGCTGTTCAAGATTGCAGACTCCAAAGCCATCAAGATAGTGACTTCGCAGAGGCTTAAGATATCAAGATTACTTGTTCTTATTTTGGCAACTCTTTTTTTTGTAACTGGGATTAGTAATGTTATAACCCTCCAAGATGATATTGATAACATTACTCTCGAACAAGATAACGTATTTAGTGGCCAAGCTTTCAAGATAACATGTGTTAGTTCAGCAGTCGTCGCATCTACCGGAGAGCATTTACTGATTCTGCCACCACCATTACCACCACCATCAAGCGACTCTGCCACCACCACCACCATCATCATTGGGCGTCTGTCACCATTTCCACCACCACCATCGGGCGATTCTACCACCACTACCACCACCACCATCGGGCGGGTACCACGAGAACCATCCTGAGTTCACATGACTTCGACTATGTGAACACAGCTGGTGGTATCTCAGTGGTACCCGCCTCTCCTAGATACACCCATCCACCCACCATCCATCCACCCACTATCCATCCATCCACCCCCATCCACCAAACCCTCACCCTACAGCAGGAAAGTCATCACACATCACCTACAGCAGCGTCCAGTCATGTAAAGAAGTCACCAGCTAAAACCAATCCATTGTTTTATCTCCTCTAAGGTATTGCCATTGTAATTTAAACCATATGTATATTATTAGTAGTAGTAGTAGTATTAATAGTAGAAGTATTATTGTTATTATTATTATTTTGAGCGCTGTGCATGTATATAATGTAAGTATGTATGAATGATGTGTATGTATTATGTATAGATTAGGCACGTGACCTTAATTCCAGATGAGTGCAGCTCCAGGACCTTATGCTCTCTCAGCCTCCAGCTTCATCCAGTGATTCCAGGTTTGTACTGCGGCTTACTGCTGGACCTTAATGGATAGTAACTTTTGTCCATCGCTTTTGTGCTTTTATTGATTTATTCCAACCTCTCTGTATCTCTCTTCTCTATAGGGATCTGTCGGGACGGTAGTGATCCCAGAGAAGTTTCCTCCACATTCCTGCTCTGTGTTTTTGTTTCTCTCTTGTTTTGATAAATATACTGGAGGGTATATATGTGGATCAGTGTCTCTCTGGCCTCTACTGGGACCACAGCGACGGTTGTTTATTAGTGTTTTCTATTATTAAGGAGACAGTTTGTGGGAGGTGTTTAATTGGCTTCGATGGCGTGAGTGAAGCCCTTTCTTTGTGTGTGTGGGGGGTCCATCACTTGTCACGTAATATTGTCCCTCAGCTGACCTGCTGAACACTGCTTCCCTGTTGGGTGCTGTAAACGCTTTTGCTTGCCTTACACAGGATGCAAGGAGTGCTTAAACTAGTCCCTCGCCGGGTAAATCTAAAAAAAATAAAAAATAAATAATAAATGAAAAAAATCAGGTCAGGTCAGGCTCAAACTGGTGACAGTTTTTTGTACACACACACATACACACACGTCTTCTATAAACACACACACACACGTTCTGAAAATGTCGTCATGGAGACCAATTTAAAACAGCCATGAACTATTCCTTTAAGGTAGACTCTCCTCTTGTTGGTCGACCTCACTCTCCCTAGCCATGTGTTGCCGCAGCAGAGGAATACTTAAACAGCAGTAGTAGCAACAGCAGCAGTAACAGCAGCAGCATATAGGGTGTTAGATACTATAAGACCAGTACTGTTGAAGGCAGGAACAGCAACCGTTGATTATATTGGTCGGAGAGGACCCACTAGACTGTTAGTTCCTCTCCCGAGTCCAGTTAAACCTGTTATTATTATTATTATTATTTATTATTATTATTATTATTATTATTTTTATTATTATTATTATTATTATTATTATTATTATTATTATTATTATTATTATTATTATTACCGTTTTATTGTTATTATTATTGTTTTTTATGAGATTAAACTTATTTATACATTCAGTTATTTATTTACTCTCAATTTTCATTATTATTATTATTATTATTGGTGGTAGGTGAGTGGTGAGTGAGTGAGTGAGTAAGTAGGTGACATACGTAAGCCACACCCATCTCTTTACAATAAGTTCACACAAACATCAAGTCTTACCATTTCAGTACCAAGTCTTACCACCTCGTTCAGTACAAGTCTTACCTCTCGTTCAGTACCAAGTCTTACCCTCTCGTTCAGTACAAGTCTTACCACCTCGTTCAGTACCAAGTCACTCGTTCAGTACAGTCTTACCACCTCGTTGAGTACCAAGTCTTACCCTCTCGTTAGTACCAAGTCTTACCACCTCGTTCAGTACCAAGTCTTACCCTCGTTCAGTACCAAGTCTTACCCCTCGTTCAGTACCAGTCTTACCCCTCTCGTTCAGTACCAAGTCTTACCACCTCGTTCAGTACCAAGTCTTCCTCGTTCAATTAAGTCTTACCCCTCGTTCAGTACCAAGTCTTCCACCTCGTTCAGTACCAAGTCCTACCACCTCGTTCAGTACCAAGTCTTACCCCTCGTTCGAGCAAGTCTTACCTCGTTCAGTACCAAGTCTTACCTCTCGTTCAGTACCAAGTCTTACCCCCTCGTTCAGTACCAAGTCTTCCTCGTTCAGTACCAGTCTTACCCTCGTTCAGTACCAAGTCTTACCCTCTCGTTCAGTACCAAGTCTTACCACCTCGTTCAGTACCAAGTCTTACCACCTCGTTCAGTACCAAGTCTTACCACCTCGTTCAGTACCAAGTCTTACCACCTCGTTCAGTACCAAGTAAATATATGGGTTTTATTTATGTTTACAATTTACACGATCATATTCACGGGGTTTGGTTCCTTATTAAACACAATTTGTAAATCCTGGGTGGGGAGATGGGGGGGTGGAGAGAGATTAGAGATAGAGGTTAGAGGAGAGATTAGATAGAGGTTAGGTGAAGATTAGAGATAGAGGTTAGAGTGAGAGATTAGAGATAGAGGTTAGATGAGAGATTAGAGATAGAGGTTAAGTGAGAGATTGAGATAGAGGTTAAGGAGAGATTAGAGATAGGTTAGAGTGAGGTAGATAAGTTAAGTGAGAGATTAGAGATAGAGGTTAGAGTGAGAGATTAGAGATAGAGGTTAGAGTGAGAGATTAGAGATAGAGGTTAGAGTGAGAGATTAGAGATAGAGGTTAGAGTGAGGATTGAGATAGAGGTTAGAGTGAAAGATTAGAAACAGGGTTAGAGTGAGGGATTAAAGATAAGTTAGAGTGAAGATTAGAGATAGGGTTAGAGTGAAGATTAGAGATAGGGTTAAGGAGAGATTAGAGATAGAGGTTAGAGTGAAAGATTAGAGACAGAGGTTAGAGTGAGGATTAAGATGAGGTTAGAGTGAAAGATTAGAGATAGAGGTTAGAGTGAAAGATTAGAGATGAGGTTAGGTGAGATGAGACAGAGGTTAGATGAGGGATTAAAGATAGGGTTAGGTGAAAGATTAGAGACAGAGGTTAGAGTGAAAGATTGAGATAGAGTTAGAGGAAAGATTAGGAAGAGGTTAGAGTGAGGGATTAAAGATAGAGGTTAGGTGAAAGATTAGAGATGAGGTTAGAGTGAGGATTAAAAGTGAGAAATGTAGAATTAAGGAAGATTAGAGACAGAGGTTAGAGGAGATGAGATGAGTTAGAAGATTAGAGATAGGGTTAGAGTGAGAGTTAGAGATTAGGAGAGAGAGGAGTAAGATTAGAGATAGAGGTTAGGTGAGGTTGAATGGGTTAGAGTGAAAGATTAGAGACAAGAGGTTAGAAGAGAGATAGAGAGGATTGTGGTGGTGTTTTTAATCGCCATATTCAACAAAAAACAACAGAGGTGTGGTGGATTGTGGTTGTAATGGTCAAATATGATGAGAATTGTGGTGGATTGTGGTTGTAATGGTCAAATATGCTACGAATTGTGGTGGATTGTGGTTGTAATGGTCAAATATGCTGATTTGTGGTTGTAATGGTCAAATATGCTGAGAATTGTGGTGGATTGTGGTTGTAATGGTCAAATATGATGAGAATTTGGTGGCGTGTGCTGGTAGCGTGGTGTAAGGAGAGAAATTTACCGAGATTACTGACGATTGTGGTGGAATGTGGTAGAGGGTTGTATAAGCAAGGCGATTAT